CCCTGAGCGAGTGCTTGGCCTGCAGACACCTTGGGAGCGCACTTCATGGGCCTGGAGCCCACGGCTCACAGCTCCCTTAAACCGTGTAGTATTTTACCCCGCACAAGGTGTACGGAGGCCGAACACCTGCTCCGGGGGATTGGCAGGGGCTTAGGGGCTGTCCGGCATATTATGCATACAAAGGTGTATGGTGAGAGTGCGACAAAGGTGTATGCCCAGACTGCGACTCAAGTCGCACTGTTTTCTGTAGCATACGCCTTTGTTGCCCTCTCCTGGTACGCCTTTGAAATTACAGTGTATGCGCGAGCACAGCAGGTGTGGGATGGGATGGGATGTGCAAACCTATTACAAGATATGATGCATTATTTGAACGCAGACGTTTTGCTTTTGGCCGCCTTTTTTACAAAGTTTGAGGCGATGACGTTTAAAAAAACCGGATTGGAAGTGTGCCACTTTGTCTCCATCTCGTCCCTCACCTGGTGTCAAGCGTTGAAATTCACCCGTGCAGAGGTTGATATTATATCAGATCCAGACATGTACCAGATGTTCGAAATGCAGAAGAGGGGCGGTTTGGCGTGTATTATGCAAAGGTACTCGGAAGCTAATGTGCCGGGTACCTCCACCTACGACCCCGAGAAGCCGGAAAAGCACATTCAGATTTATGATGTCAACGCATTATACTCAAATGAAATGTGCAAAAAGTTGCCATACAAAAACTACCGGTGGGTGGCGCTTGAAGAGCTTGCAAATGTCGATTGGAGTCAGGTCAACGAGAACGACGACGAAATGTATGCAGTAAAGGTGGACTTGGACTACCCGCACGAGCTGCACAAGTCTCACGACGAGTGGCCGTGCGCAGTGGAGAAAGCCACCGTGCCCAAGGAGTGGTTAAGCCCGTACCAACAACGAATCGCCGACCGCCTGCCGAAGGGACAGCTCAAAGAACCAAAACTTATCGCACACCTCGGACCTCGAAAAGAATATGTCGTGCACGGTGCCGTCCTCGCACTCTTTCTCAAGCTGGGGCTGCGCGTGACTCGGTTTCATTGTGGAGTGAAATTCGAGCTAAAGGCGTGGCTGAAACCTTATATTGAAGACCTTATGCGGGAACGTCAGAGGACGAATCTAAAGTTTGAGCAAAAAGCATTCAAACAATTTAGCAACAGCACGTATGGGTACCTACTTCGAAATCCACGATTCGACAGGCAAGTCGAGATTGTGAGGACTCCAGCGCGAATAAAGAAAGTGGTGGCCAAGCCCACGTTCAAATCATTCACCATTTTCGAAGAAAATATTGTGGCTGTCGAGAAGGCGCCGGCCACAATCAAGCTGATGCAGTGCGTGTCGGCAGGAGTCTCGGTGCTGGACACGAGCAGGAAGACCATGATGGAGTTGTATTGGGTGCTAAAAGGCCAATTCGGAGATAGAATGAAGACCCTATTTACGGATACTGACAGCGTCGGCGTGGAGATCGAGTCTCCAGACATCGTGGGTGAGATGAGAAAGTTGGAGCACATCCTCGACACGTCTGGCCTCCTGCCGACCCATCCTCTGTACAGCACCCAGTTTGCACGAGTCCAGGGCCGCCTCAAGCTCGAGTACGGAGAAATGAACATCCTCCAATTCGCGGCGGTCCGCGCAAAATGCTATGCAGTCGAGATAGAATCTCAGGATAAAAATATACGCAACATCTACAAATGCAAAGGGGTCAAGAGTGTTGCACTGAAACAGAGCATCACCTTTGAAGATTACAAGAAATGCATTTTTGACGACGTTACAAAGCTTGTAGCATTCCACTCGTTGCGGTCGGACGGGGCTCACAACGTCTACACTTATCATCAAGAGAAAACGGCGCTACGAAATTTCGACAACAAGCGGTGGATCCTGGACGACGGATATCGCACGAGGGCCTTCCGCATCTCCGCCCCTCCGATCGACACTGCTCGGACGAGTTGAAGAATGTGTAAGTATTATTTGCATACCTTCATTACCCTCTCATACGAGAAACTTGAATTAATTTTTTCCTCTCCATTTCAGATTCACCGCTCACCAGATGCCATTTAACCTGCCATTATATTTTATTTATGCGCGTTTCTTCTACACATTTGTATGTTATTTGCCATTTATAAAATAAAACTATATCAACAAAAATGAAAATGATGTCTGCGTACGTGTTTTGTTATTTATCACACTGAAATAAAATGAAACGAGAGACAAAAGAGGAAAATATGCATTGCGGGTAGAGTCTTACCGCCCGAGACCGCGGCCGGCGCAAGTCTTACCGCCGCCGCCGCCGGAGAAAATCAAGCCGGCCGGGACCGCGCGACCGGAGAAAATCTTACCGTCCGGGTAGCCGACGGGAAAAGTCTTACCGTCCGGGTCGGGCCCCGCGGAACGGCAGAGCTTCAACAGACACACTTTAGCCCTTCTGCGAGCACGTTGGCCTTGGCGACATTGACAGATATCTGTGTAGCCAACGCCAATGTTTTGAGATCAAATATTGGTTAAACCAACATGTCTCCCCTCGTTGTTACAGAACAATGATCCTCCTCAAGCATAAACGCTCGCATGAGGAAGCAATCAAGCAGGATGTCAGGCCCCTTGTCATCTTTTTGCCGCGGGTGGATCCTTTCCACAGCGAACCAGGACGTACCGCTGATCAGATGTACCAGCTTTCTTGGGAGGAAACAGCAATCAAAAATGACACGCTAGCAATAGTTACACAAGTTCGGGCCTCTGCAGTAATTCTATTAGTTTTCTATAAAAATAGGGCTCAAGATCCGGACAACGTAGTCCAATCCATAAGACATCTCAGGTTTTTCCTCATAGAACGACATATCAGAGATTGGCAAGTGTTAGACATTCCGTCAATGGAACCTGGAGTGTTCTACGAGGAAATAGGGAAAGCCTTTGTTGGAACTAATCATCAAATATCAGTATTAGAGAGCATTCTGCCAGGCCCGATAAAAGTTCTCCCACCATTAGAAATACCAAGTCTAGACGAAATAGAAGGGCCTAATGATTTATTAGAGTTTGGCGAGGACATGCCCCAAATGATGAATAATGACCTGAGACCCCTAACGGACGAAGAGTATGATGCCTTGCAGAAAATCTTAATGGACATTAACATACCAGAGGAATTCCAGTTTATAGTTGCAAACGCCATCCAATAGTTAATAAATCCCGCTCACCCTGCTTTCGTTTAAGTTATTTTTGTTTTTGTAAATTAATTTAGGTCCCGTCCTTGTTGCAGAATAATGCCTTCAACAACAAGCCGGTTCCCCATGCCCAGCTTGTTATTCTTGGTACTGGTTTTTCTATGGCTCATGTGTGGGGCATGCTGCTTCGACACGGTGGGATTTGATTGCTCACAGCCACAGCAGTTGGGGGCCTACGCCTTGGACGGCGTACGCTCGTGCCCAACACCGGCCCATATCTATCCACCTGAAAGTAGACATATCCAATTACTACAGCTAAAGAAATACCATACGGTAGAAGTAAGGGCCTGTCTTTTAGGACCGCTGGACGCACAGACGGGGTACGTCAACGACCCCATAACACCTGAAATGTGCAAAGAGGCCTTTCGCCACGGAAATATATCCTTTTGGAACCAGACGTTTATAACCAGAAACAATACGCCACAGAATTATCACTTGAAAAAAACGCATGGACCGGCTGAAGTAAAGTCAATATACCTTTACTTACAGACAATAACTGCAAACGTAAACATAGACGATTCACGACTAGAAATGCCAAACGGGGAGACGTGCCCGTACCACTTGGGAAACTGTGAGACAAAGGAGTATGGGGTTTTAGAGTGGACATTTAGACAGTCTCGCCAGTGCTCCGAGATGGTGGAAGTGTTATATGACGGATCGGGGTCCATCATCAATTACAATGATACAAAACAGCTACTAATTGAGACAAAAGTAAGAAGGGCCCTGATACCATTCGACACCTCCTACGTACAAGCAGCTATCTTCTTGAGCAGTGCAGACAAGCAGCTATCTTCTTGAGCCGTGCAGACAAACAGCTAACTGCTTTTTCCACCTCGCGACTTTGGGTATTCATATTTCTGTCCAAAAATGCCGTTGCCACTCTACTGCTGCGTCACTTCCTTCCTTAAGTTTGTCAAAACATAGAATTTCACCCCCGATGTTCCTAACTTGTCACTGACAGAAGTTATTCGACGGAGAATAGGTCAACCCTAACCTCCTCAAAAAACAGATAGCTGTTTGTCCGCCACCCTCAAGCAGATAGCTGCTTGTCTGCGCAGCCCAGGAAGATAGCTGCTTGTGCGTAGGAGGTGTCGCATTGATCGAGAAACAGCCTAACATCTTGCATTGTCCACCACTGTGGGTGACAACATTTGAACGAAGGATTGGCACTGGTTTTAGCTGCCCGTAGGCAGTTTGGGGGTCATTTCACAAGAATTTCATCAAAAATTTCCCAAATTCATCAATTTTTTGCCATCTTTGCATGCACATATCTCCGAAACCGTTTGAGCTACAGCGCCCAGATTTTGCAGGTAATTATCTTTCAATTAGTACTTTCCATGAAAAAAATTTAAACCAAATCAATGGGGTTTGCCAAAAGGGGCCTAGGGTCGCAACCCCCTCTCCGAACCAATTTTTTCGACCCTGATCGATTTCGTTCAAATTTTCTACGAGTAAAGAACGTGCTAAATTATGATTTCCCTCAAAATTTGGGCACTGTAGCTCAAACGGTTCTTGAGATAGGTGATGTAAAGTTGATAATCAGGCTTAAAAGTTTGGCGAATTTTCAATTAAATTCGCGTAAAACGCCCTTCAAACTCCCTACGGGCAGCTAAAACCAATGCAAAACCTAATCTAGGGATAAAAACAACAACATTTTGAAGCGCCATTGAAATCTGAGTGTATCACCGGAAAACCTTCCCTTGTAAGCCCTGCCCACCTGGCTGGAGTGACGCAGAGTGCAGCAGGGTGCACTCCTACTACCGCCAGGGGCGGAATCCCTCGCCCCCACCTAACGGCAGGACCAGCGCGGCGCACGTACGCGCCCCAACCACATCAAAGGTCGCCGACGCCGTGCCTACGGCCGCCGCCGCTGTCCGCGAGGCCGCCGCCGTCAGCACCGCCACCTCCACAAACGAGGCCGCCGCCGCCGCCATCAGCGAGGCCGCCGCCATCGACGAGGCCGCGGCAGCCGCCGTCAGCGACGCCACCGCCGCCAACGTCACCGACGCTGTTCCGGGCTCACCATCTAGCGTCTCAAGCACGCCACCCAGCAGGCCGGCCTCCGCGCACAGCCCCTGCAGCGCGGTGACCTGGCCAAACCCGGCGCTCCACAACACCAAGGTCAGTGACGCTGCGGACGCCGCCCACGACAGCCCCGACGCAACACCCGGTGGAGAGGACATCATCGCGGGGGCCCGCACCGACGCGCCGGCCGGCGCGCGGCACGACCCCGCACCGCTGCCCGGGCCGCCCTGGAAACCAAAGACGACGGAGGACTACCTGGTGGACTATCTCGTCCGGCAGGGATACACCGACCTCGAGTTCCTGGCGGTCCTCGAGGAGATGGCCAGCCGGCGCGAATCCGCGGCGCTCCCCACGAGCGCCGGCCCACGTTCCATTCGTCCAGTTCAGTTGGGGCCCCGGGACAAGAAGTCGCAGCTTTCACCGCCCGGCAAAATGTTGCTACGAGCGCTCTTCGGGCAAAGTGAAATGAAAAATAGTGAACTATATATGGACCTTATC